CACATGCAACAAGCCCCACCCCCTGCTCCCAGCAACCCTCAGTCAGAGCAAGAAGCAGCCAGGTAAGTTGCAGAGCTCCCTCTGGCCCCCCGGTCCAAAACAGTCCAGTGACACCTTTAAGACTGAGTTTTATTCAGGTACAAGCTCTCCCTCCTCTGCAAGGACAGGCCGCCCGCCCCCCCCCCCCCCCATAGGTAGCAATCCAAAATGGTCCAGTGGGTGTTGCCTTCTGACACACTTCTGGTGATGTCAGGGGGTGTGGCATATGCAAATGAGTTATGCTAATAAGCTCCTGCACCTCTTTTTCTAGAAATGACCCCTGACCACAGCCAATTGTGTATCTGTTGTCCAAAGCAATGTATTAAAGACAAATTTCAAAAGGAATATCAAGAATGCACTTTGATTGCTTTATTTATAAATGATAGATTCCTCGATGAGATCAGACTACATTGCTCTTCCCGTAATATCTTCTTCAGGCTGGTTGCCAACTGACCGGTAGAACGTACCGCCTGGCCTGCTGTTGTGCTTCTAAGAGGTGTTCAATGTACAGAAACGAGCAGGCTAAACTTTCCAGGGCATCCAGCTAGAAACATTCAGGGAGAGAGCTGTGGGAGAGCATCCACTTTGCATGCCAAAATCCAGGGTTCAATCCCCAGCAAAATGGAACCTCCATGAGCAGAGGCAGTATACCTTTGCTGGGAGGGCAACTACAAGGGGAAGCTTTGGCCTGTTTTTCAGCTTTCCCAGCGGCATCCGGTTGGCCATTGTGGGAATCAGGATGCTGGACTAGATGGCCTGATCCATCCCACAGTGTTCTTTCGATGGTACAAGTGGCCAGGAGTCTGGGATTCAGCTTGCTTGGAAGGGCTTGCTCTGAATTGGGTCCACAGTTGGGGGATTTTATTACATCCAGCTGTGCAAACATTGTCTGGACTGGGACACCGGCTGAGAGTTATTCCTAAAGCAGATTATTGTATTCACAAGGACATATGGAAGTCACTTTATACATATACTGCATCCAACCATCGGGCTCTCAAGGTCAGTGTTGTCTTATAGCTAGAGTTGCCAACAGCCTGGAGAAAAAGTGTGCTGCTCCTTTAATGGAGGCCTTAGGGTCTGTTGGTTGTCAGGCGCTGTTACTTACCTTGGTTTCATGTAAAGCTTCATCTGCCCAGGTCCACACATTAAACCACTCTTAAAGGGACAGGACATTTTTTCTGTAGATGGTTGGCAACTCTACGAGTAATTATTCTCTAGGGTTTTAGGAGAATGGATTTCATACTACCTGATCCTTTATTTAACTGGAGGTGCCAGGGATTGAACCTGAGACCTTCTGCATACAAGGCAGATGCATACAAGGCACTGAGCCATGGCCCCATTCCAGCATGGGCAGAAACTCCGGCTAGTTCAGAATACAAGCGTCTGGCTGTTAACCTGTATGGATAGGAAGGACCATACCGTACGAACATAAGAGAAGCCATGTTGGATCAGTCCAATGGCCCATCCATTCCAACACTCTGTGTCACCCAGGGGCCATCAGGAGGTCCACCAGCAGGGCCAGAGCTCCAAAAGCCCTCCCACTGTTGCCCCCCCCAAGCAGTATTTTGTCTGCCCTTAAAAATCTTCACAACTAGCTTATTTATGAGTACAATCAAAGCTGGGGGCCAGGTGTGTGTGGGGGGGCGATTCACACAATACAAAGTCCCTTTTGCTACTATGAGAGCTTCATGTCGGATGTGTGAAGTCCATTCTCACAGACACATGGGGACTTTGTATCGTGTGAATCGGCCCTGAAGGAGCACCCATTCCCTTGCCTGCCCAAGATCCTCCTTGGAGACCCAAGTCCAAGTGCCTACATGGTAATGTGGTTACCCTTAAGAGTGAGTGGTTCCTCATTACAGAACTGCCTTCCTCAGTTTGGTGTAGTGGTTAAGTGCGCGGACTCTAATCTGGGAGAACTGGGTTTGATTCCCCACTCCTCCTCCACTTGCAGCTGTTGGATGAACTTTCTCTTCTTCTCCTTCATCCACCTGTTTGGCACTGACCTGGCTATTATCTATCACCTTTGTATCTTTGGAACAGCATTAGGGTTGCTATCCCCCTGATGGGGGTGAGGTTTTCCCCGCTTTCAGGGGGCCCAATCCACCGCCACTCAGCTGGCTGGTGGGGGGAAGCCCACCCCCGAGCAATCCATCTGTGCCGATGTGCCTGGTGCGATCACGTCACCCGGATGTGATGTCATCACGCAGGGCACATTGCAGGGGGGGGGCACTCCAGCATTTGAGAAAAAAACTATGGTAACAACCACCTGTTGAGGTAGGTTCGACAGGCCCAAAGTCACCCAGCAAGCTTCATGGCAGAGCAGACTTTTCCTAGTCCTAATCTGACCCTCCAATTGAGGAGTAGGCAAGCAAGCTGTCCACTGGCCGTTACTTCACTTACAGCATGAGCCCCTGAGGTGTTAGCTGCACTGCTGAGTTTGGCTTGCTCCCAGAATGCTTAGCGGCCAGGTGTAGTCCTCCTCCTACTCAGCCACCCACATTAGGCACCCTTGTGGTATGCATGCACACTAGCAACAAACAAAGTCCACCTGAGGGTCCTCCAGACCCACAGGTCTGAAGACTTTAGGGTTGCCTGGTCCCCCTGGCCATCGACGGGGGATGGGAGGGATAGGGCTCCCAGATCCAGGTTGGGAAACTCCTGGAGCAGCTGCTCACAGACAAAGCGTCCATTATTCTTTTTTACTTAAAACATTTATACCCTGCTTTTCTTTGTGGTTCAAAGCAGCTTACAATAATATTCTAAAAACACTTTCCATTAAAACCAGAATAAAATAACAAATCCCAAATCTCTCTTCCCTAATCCCCTAGTAAATACCAATCCAAGTTCCACCTGTTCACATTGTACTGTCAAATTGCATTGAGTGGGGCCCCCACAAACACACTTCTAGGAACTAGGGAGAGGAAGAAACAACCTTTTTACCTTCACTTTCTCCAAACCAACCATAATTTTCACAAAATTATATCTGCTCGTTTTTTTCCTAAACCAGAAAGCCCAGTCACTTCAGATTTTCTATATACCCCTGGTTTACAAGATTGTTATTTTTAAGGCTATACTGACAAACTGAACAGCTAACATAATTCATGTTGTTGTACAGTCGCACGGTCGAGTCCGACTCTTCGCAACCCCATGGACCACATCACGCCAGGCCCTCCTGTCTTCCGCCGTCCTCTGAAGTTGACTCAATTTCATGTTCGTTGCATCTATGACACTGTCTAACCATCTCATCCTTTGCCGTCCCCTTCTTCTTTGACCTTCAATCTTTCCCAGCCTCAGGGTCTTCTCCAGTGAGGGCTCCCTTAGCATTGGCTTAAGTGCTCTTTGGAAGTAGAATATGTTTTACACAGACAGACACACACACACACAAAGATTTTATATGGAATAATTTATTTAAAAGAAAAACTCAAATCAAATGAAGGTAACACAGCATTTCCCTTGACACAATGGGACACGGCTTCTCTGTTTGCCATGGAGTTGTCAAATTAAGTTGCAAAACAGATAAATCACCTGAACTCTGGTATGGTAAAGAGGTATTCTGTCGCACAAACCATACCTACTTTGATATCTCTAATTACTAGGAAGCTGTATTTTATACATCTCCTTAGCGGGGGTGGTGGGAAAACTTTGATTAAGGATAATGTGCAGCCAACTCACGGTGACCCCTCATGGGGTTTCCAAGGCAAGAGATGGACAAAGGTTTTCCGCGGCCCGCCTCTGCGTAGCAACCATAGACTTCCTTGGTGGCCTCCCATCTAAGTCCTAGCCAGGGCCAACCCTGCTTAGCTTCCGAGATCTGACGAGATTGGACCAGCTAGGTCATGTCAAAGGTAATTATAAAGAATTCAGCACACTCAGATCCCTGCCCATCTATGAACGTATTAGACAACCAGACTTTTAAGGGCCCAGGTCTCTCACCTGGGCTTGAGTACTGTCATCATCCACCAATCAGGGGCTGATTGTGCTACTAGGAGCAACCAGGTCTCATGGTCTGGACCTGACACACTGAAGGACACCTGTTGCCACCACCTGTGCTTCTGCCAGCCAGGTCCAAACCACCACCACCCCCAGCAAGGTTGCCAGGCCTGTATTAAACGGTTCTTTTGACTCCCATGTGAGTTTTCTCATGCGAACGAAGGCCCGCCTTCTGACTGAACCTCTTCGTGCAATGGGTGCATTTGTACGGTTTCTCGCCCGTGTGAATCCGCATGTGGGTCACGAGGTTGCCCTTCTGATTGAAGCTCTTCCCGCACGCCGAGCAAATGTAGGGGTTCTCACCCGTGTGGATTCGCTCATGGATGACCAGCTTCGACCCCTTAGAGAAGCTCTTCCCGCAATGGATGCACATGTACGGGTTCTCTCCCCTGTGCAACCTCTCGTGGATCGTCAGGTAACACTTCCGGTTGAAGCTTCTCCCACAATCCAAGCACCTGTATGGTCTGTCGCCCGTGTGGGTCTTGACGTGTTCCCGGAAGACGGAACCCTGGCCAAAGTTTTTGCCGCAATAACAGCATCGATACAGGGCCTGCACAGCATGGGTTCTCAGGTGTTCCTTACAGCTGGAGACGTGGCTAAAGCTTTTCCCACTGTGGGTGCATTTGAAGACTTTAGTCTCTCCCAGGTGGATTCTCTCATGAATAATGTGGTTCTGTCTGTAATCAAAGCTGTTCCTGACACAAGACAGGTGTGCTTTCTCTTCAATGTGAACATTCTGGGGTTTCATAAGGTCAGAAGATGCATTTTTTACCTCAGAGTAGGAGATTGTTTGCTGTACTTTGGCTTCATTTCCCTCTTTTGCATAGAAAATAGATTCCTCCACATCCCTCTCATGTTGGTTTCCCTGCTCGCTCACAGTCATTCTTTTCGGCTTATTCTGGAAGTTTTCAATTCTTCCTGAAGATGCCATAATTAGTTCTGTTTGTTCAATGCCTTCCTGAGGGAGGGAAACCCCCTCATTCTCCCACTGCTGCCCATTACCTGCAGGAATTTAAATACATTTTATTTAATATATTTATAACCCCCCGCCAATGCCTATGATGACAAACAACAACAAAACAGGACAATTCAATTAAAATAAAACACAGCATAAACATCATAAGAACAAAAGAGAAGCCAGTGCTGGATCAGGCCAATGGCCCATCCAGTCCAACACTCTGTCGCACAGTGACCAAAAATACCAGGTGCCCCATCAGGAGGTCCAGCAGTGCCCCCCCCCAAGCACCAAGAATACAGAGCATCCCTTGCCCCAGACTGAGAGTTCCTATCTATACCTTGTGGCTAATAGCCACTGATGGACCTCTACTCCATATGTTTATCTAATTCCCTCATGAAGCCGCCCATGCTTCTGGCCGCCACCACCTCCTGTGGCAGTGAATTCCATGTGTTAATCACTCTTTGGATGAAGGGATAGAGGGAACCCTTATTAAATCTGCAGATGATACTAAATTGGGAGGGGTAGCAAATACGGTAGAAGACAGGGTCAGGATACAGGATGATCATGACAGGCTAGAAAACTGGGCTCAAACAAATAAATTGAATTTTAATGGAGATAAATGTAAAATTCAGTATCTAGGTAGGAAAAATCAAACGCATAGGATGGGGGAGACTTGGCAATATTATGTGTGAAAAGGATCTAGGGGTCTTAGTAGACCATACATTGTACATGAATAAGCAGAGTGATGCAGTAGCTAAAAAGGCAATCTAATTCCCTCATGAAGCCGCCCATGCTTCTGGCCGCCACCACCTCCTGTGGCAGTGAATTCCATGTGTTAATCACTCTTTGGATGAAGGGATAGAGGGAACCCTTATTAAATCTGCAGATGATACTAAATTGGGAGGGGTAGCAAATACGGTAGAAGACAGGGTCAGGATACAGGATGATCATGACAGGCTAGAAAACTGGGCTCAAACAAATAAATTGAATTTTAATGGAGATAAATGTAAAGTTCAGTATCTAGGTAGGAAAAATCAAACGCATAGGATGGGGGAGACTTGGCAATATTATGTGTGAAAAGGATCTAGGGGTCTTAGTAGACCATACACTGTACATGAATAAGCAGTGTGATGCAGTAGCTAAAAAGGCAAATCCAATTTTGGGCTGTATCAACAGAAGTATAGTGTCCAGATCGTGTGAAGTGATGATACCGCTTTACTCTGTTCTGGTTAGACCTCACCTAGAGTATTGTGTTCAGTTTAAGAAGGATCTAGATAAGCTGGAATGTGTCCAGAGGAGGGCAACAAAGATGGCGAGGGGTCTGGAGACAAAGTTCTATGAGGAAAGGCTGAAGGAGCTGGATATGTTTAGCTTGGAGAAGAGATGACTGAGAGGTGATATGATATCCATCTTCAAGTACTTGAAGGGCTGTCATCTAGAAGATGGTGTGGAGTTGTTTTCTGTTGCCCCAGAAGGTTGAACCAGAACTAATGAGTTGAAATTAAATCAGAAGAGTTTTCAGCTAAATATTAGGAAGAACTTCCTGACAGCTTATACCAGGTGTAATGAAATGGCTGCCAGGCAGAAGTTTATATTAAAATGGCTGCCAATCTGGTAGTTCTTCTGGAGGGGGAAGGTTCTCCATAGGGGACAATGGGGCTGCCATACCTCCCAACCTTCGTTTCCCAGCAGCTTTGAGGAAAAAGTGGGGGAAAGTATGGACCCACCCCAGGGGCAAAACCAGCCAGATAAAGGCTTCTGCCCTCCAGGAAGTTAGTCAGTCGGCCTTCACCTCAGCCTTGGATGAGAGCTTCAAGGGACAGCATACAGGTGGGACTCCTGTTACCTCAGACTCCGTGGGCAATCCAGGCCACTATAAATCATGGTGGAGAGCCAGGAGGGTAGCAGTACTGGTGAACAGTCCTGAGGAGGGCTGGAGTTTCTCTCCAACAACAAGGAGCGGGAAAGCAAATCCTATCCTGAGGCCACAACCTCCAGAGGTAGAGAGGGTGCGTGTAGCGACAGAGGAATTGTGTTTTAATCCTGTTTGTTTTCTGCCTGGTTGTGTTGAATTGCCTGTGTTATTTTCTGTGCCTAACCTTGTATATAGTTTAAATCACGGCTCTTTTTGTAGAAAAAGTCCAGCAGGAACTCATTAGCATAATAGGTCACACCCAACAGCAGAAACTCATTAGCATATTAGGCCACACCCCTGACAGCACAGCTCATTAGCATATTAGTCCACAACCCCATGTTACCAGAAGTGTGGTCATCCAGCCACACCCACCTTTTGCTCCTTATTCTGTTTACCTTGTTTGTTGTCAAAACCCAGGGCCTTTTTTTGTAGCAGGAACTCCTTTGCATGTTAGGCCACCCACCCCTAATGTAGCCAATCCTAATTTTTAGTTTTAAAATGGCTGCCAGTCTGGTAGTCCTCTGGAGAGGGGAGGGTACTCCATAGGGAACAATGGAGCTGCCATACCTCCCTCCCTACATTTCCCAGAAACTAGGGACCCACCCCAGGGGCGGAGCCAGCCAGGTAAAGGCTTCTGCCCATCTAGGGAGGGGTTAGTCAGCCTTTGCCTCAACCTTGGATGAGAGCTTCAAGGGGCAGTGTACAGATGGGACTCCTGTTACCTCAGACTCTGTGGGCAATCCAGGCCACTATAAATCATGGTGGAGAGCCAGGAGGGTAGCAGTACTGGTGAACAGTCCTGAGGAGGGCTGGAGTTTCTCTCCAACAACGAGGAGGAAAGCAAATCCTATCCTGAGGCCACAACTTCCAGAGGTAGAAAAGATGTGTGTAGCGACAGAGGAATTGTGTTTTGATCCTGTTTGTTTTCTGCCTGGTTGTGTTGAATTGCCTGTGTTATTTTCTGTGCCTAGCCTTGTATATAGTTTAAATACACCTTCTTTTTGAGTTATAAGACCTGGTAGTGCCTTGACCACATAGTCCTCCCCGCTCAGCACGTTACCACAGGCAAAGGGAGGCCAGGGAACCCAAACAAGCCCAAATCCAAGGGGTTGCCAATTCTCCAGGGGGCACCCAAACATTGAGGTACCCACTTTCCCAGGTTGGGGAATCAGCCAGAGGGGTCTCACTGTCCCTCTAGGAAGGCAGTGTAAATTCAGTTAGTGGTGGCAGCAACTAAGAAAGGGAAATAGTCCCACCAGACAGGGTGGGCAGGTAAAAACAGGGGCTTGTGAGCCACAGAAGGGATGCTTAGTCTCCCAGGGTTGTGGGCGGGTCCCCATTTCGCCACACCAGGAATAAAACTTTGTCAGTCTAAAAGGTGCTACTGGTCTCAAACGTTGTTCTGCTGCTTCAGACCAACACGGCTACCCCACCTGAATCTATCATCAAGTAAGGTGGTGTTTACCACAGGCAAAGGGAGGCCAGGGAACCCAAACAAGTCCAAATCCAAGGGGTTGCCAATTCTCCAGGGGGCACCCAAACATTGAGGTACCCACTTTCCCAGGTTGGGGAATCAGCCAGAGGGGTCTCACTGTCCCTCTAGGAAGGCAGTGTAAATTCAGTTAGTGGTGGCAGCAACTAAGAAAGGGAAATAGTCCCACCAGACAGGGTGGGCAGGTAAAAACAGGGGCCGCTTGTGAGCCACAGAAGGGCTGCTTAGTCTCCTAGGGCTGTGGGCGGGTCCCCGTTTCGCCACACCAGGAATAAAACTTTGTCAGTCTAAAAGGTGCTACTGGTCTCAAACGTTGTTCTGCTGCTTCAGACCAACACGGCTACCCCACCTGAATCTATCATCAAGTAAGGTGGTGTTAGCCAGCCTCCCCTGTGTCCCAGAATCACAGACCCCTTACTTACCTGGCAAGGTCACCTCTTCACTGTACTTCTGCTTGGCTTCCCTGCCAGTCCAGGCATCCGGCAGCCGAACCTGGCCTGCCTCGGAAGAGTCTGCCACTGCCTCCGCCAATGGAACCAAAACCTAGAAGAGCAGGAAGGGAAACAAAATCACTCAGACAGAGAGAGGCATTGCAGTGCTACAACTGAGGGCCACGTTTTGCCTCAGTATTCCTAACCCTTGTCAACTGACCCCTGACACACACATACATACTCTGTGTAGGACAGAAACAAAAGGTGAGGTATTATTCTCATCCGGATTAGGTCTCAGAAAGAAAGCCAGTGTGTTTTAGTGGATAAGAATCCAGGAGTTGTACTCTGAGAGGGTTTTGGCCTTGTCACTAAGGTCTGGTTCACACATGGAAGAGAATTAGTGCTACTTCACACAGCGAATGATTAAAATGTGGAACGGGCTGCCAGAGGATGTTGTGACGGCCACAGGGATAAACTTTAAAAGGGGATCAGATAGATTCATGGAGGAGAAGTCTATCAGTGGCTACTATCTGTGGTGACTGAGGGGAACCACTGCATTCAGAGCACTAATCTTCTGGACCCCAGAGCCGGGAGGCAACCTTAGGGGAAAGCCCTGTTGTTGGCCTTCCAGAGGGACTGGTTGGCCACTGTGTGGGACAGGATGCTAGAGTGGATGGACCATTGGTCTGATCCAGCAGGGCTCTTCTGATGTTCTTAAGAGTTTTGTCTGAAGGAGGGCAAAAGGTCCCAGGGCTGATCCCCGGCATCTCCAGCTATCAGTCAGAGGAGACAACCTGAACCTGAAGGCCCAAAGGTCTGATTCAGTGAAGGGCCGCTTCCCATATTCATGTGTGTAAATGAGATAGTAGTAGAAAAGGACC